TAATGCAGTAAATATTGATACAACCCATATAAACAAAAACTCTTTGAAGTCCTCAGTAATTTTAGAGTCTAAAGGAGTCCTGCAATCAAGAAATTGAAGAACTGCTGGTCTACAGAATAATACCCAGTTTTAAAAAAGTATTTACAAAGAGATCCATTGACTTACCTCTGATTCTTTTTAATGTTTATTTTTTAAAATTAAAAAATAAAATTATTTAATTTTTGTAACGAGGCCAGCATTTACTATCCTTAGTATCCTCATAGGAATGGACAGAGCAAATCCAAAATTGTTTCCAGTTTTGCTATTAAGATTCTTCTTAGTGAGTCTAAGTTATTCTTTTCTCTAGTGAGTTTTAGATACTAAAAATAATTGCAAGTCAGAAATTAAAAATAAGTCACTAGAGCAAAAAATAAAGATCAATGGGATTGGCAAGTGAAATAGGCCAAAAATTTGAGCTTGTCTTGGTAATGCATATAGTCTCAGTTTGCAGGCCTTGCTTATATGCTTTTAAACCTTCATTTAGCCATGGAAATGAGGACATGATATAATTTAACCTATATAAGTTAAATATAGGTTATTTTTAAAAATCTCCTTTTATTACTTAAAATGCTTTTTAGGTAATAGAGAAGTGCTAAAAAGAACATAGACGGCGGGGCCCTGTGGCTCACGCCTGTAATCCCAGCACTTTGGGAGGCCAAGGCGGGTGGATCACGAGGTCAAGAGATCAAGACCATCCTGGTTAACATGGTGAAACCCTGTCTCTACTAAAAATACAAAAATTAGCTGGGCATGGTGGCGCACACCTGTAGTCCCAGCTACTCGGGAGACTGAAGCAGGAGAATTCTTGAACCCAGGAGGTGGAGGTTGCGGTGAGCCGAGATTGCGCCGTTGCACTCCAGCCTGGGTAACAAGAGTGAAACTCCATCTCAGGGGAAAAAAAAAAAAAAAGGAGACTATCACTTTTTTCATCTTTTTCCCCCTTGATATACATTCTTCTAAAATGACCAAAAAGTGGGCATTAGAAAAATAAGCTATAAAATCTATAGGATGGCTAAAAAATCCCTCTGTTTAAACAGACAGAATTTTTTTTAAATACAGAAGTATTGCTCCCTGTTTCATTGCTTTCTGTTTCATCTCGTCTTTAGCACTAGAAAGGGGTGGTTCAGGGTTTCAGAATGTTTTTTGAGACATCTTATTTTCACAATACCATGAAGAAATTAGAAAAAGGTTCAGTTTAGACAAAGGGAGAAATTAGACAATGAGGCTTTAAGACAATTAGGATCTCACAGAAAATAGAATTTCGATTTTCCTAAATTCAGTGTTGATACAGATTTATAGTTTGTCAGGAAACCTGGGTTATGCTATTAATACAATATCCTGTGTTATAATTTTTACGGACAGGTTTATCAGTGTCTTCTTGCTAAAATTAATTTACAATAAAGTTTACAGTGGATAGTTTCAGTCACCCATGGCTAACTTATAAAGTTAGTTATTTGAATGACCACAAATTGTCTAATTTTGTCAAAGTTTCTAATTGCTTAGACCACAAAACGATTCATGTTTCCACATAAAGTAGTGTAACCGGGGCTCCCTCCCCATTGTGATTCTGAGTCCTTGGCCTCTCGTACCCCAAGAATGGAGAAAGGGGCCCAGGAGAGGCACAGTGAGCTTACCTTTCAAATAAATATTGTGGACCCAAAGAGTTTAGCAGAGAGCAATTTATTAGGCAGAGAGAGAGAGGGAGACAGAGAGACAGAGAGAGAGAGAGAGAGCCCATGCTGCTGTTGGAGGGGATCCAAGGAAGAAATCCCTATATGTAAGGAGCAGCAGGATTTAAACCCAGGAATTATTCCTGCCCCATTCATGTTCTCATCCAATGAGAGTTCTTTCAAGCTTCTGCTGGAGTGATTGATCTTTGACTTTGATACTGGATTGGCTACTTGGTCCCCAACAGAGCCCCCTCCTCCCAGAGCTTTTGGCTGGCTTTTTGAACAAAGAAACCCACCTGGATTTCTCACCTAGTCCATGCACGGGAAAGTCAGAGAAAGAACTTTACATTTGAAACCCCTCTGGTTCCCAGATGGAGGCAAAATCACGCCCCTCATGGACCCGGGGAGATAAGTTTTTTTCCTTAACACAGTTCCCCTGTCCCCCCTCTGAACAGGAAAGTCCAGCTGCTGTTGGGACACAGGCGTTGATCACCCTTTAACTACTTCCTGCTGAATTGGAGCATAGAAGGGGCCCTGCAGTTGAGGTTTCCTCCAGAGGGGAGACTTCCAAGGGTGCAGGTTGATCCAGAGGTCCATGATAGAACTCATGAGCCAAGGATATCTGGGGTTCCATTTGCAGGACCATTTATGGCCTTATGGCTTTAATTCAAAAAGAAACAAATTTGACAAAAAGGTTAATGATGAGAGGCCTGAAGGCCAGCAATAATAGAATGGTTATAAACGGGCCTAGGAGAGGGTAAAGCCAGGACACCCAGTTGTTAAGCTCCATGATCCTGTTTCTTGAAGGTCCCTGTATTTGACTCGATCTTTGAGTTGTTTTTTTTTTTTTGAGACAGAGTTTCGTTCTTGTTACCCAGGCTGGAGTGCAATGGCGCGATCTCGGCTCACTGCAACCTCCGCCTCCTGGGTTCAGGCAATTCTCCTGCCTCAGCCTCCTGAGTAGCTGGGATTACAGGCACACGCCACCATGCCCAGCTGAATTTTTGTATTTTTAGCAGAGACGGGGTTTCACCATGTTGACCAGGATGGTCTCGATCTCTTGACCTCGTGATCCACCTGCCTCGGCCTCCCAAAGTGCTGGGATTACAGGCTTGAGCCACCACGCCCGGCCTCTTTGAGTTCTTTAAGACAATACCTGATTGGTTTATAAAGTAGGAGCATTATTTTCCTGAAGAGAGATAAGTTTCGTCTCTCTCTGCTGTTAGCAGATTCAGGGCCCTTTATTTTGAAGAGCTACAGCAACTAAAGAGTTAAGCTATTTTTGCAGAGTGAGCTGTCTTTGCAGAGAGAATTAGCAACCTTTTCTGTGTTATCATTTAACTCCTGAGATGGCTTATAGTAAAACTGAGTAGAGGTAGTAACTGTTCCAATGCCAGTACCAAGTTCTCCTATTATTCCTCCCTTCCCACCCCGTGAAAGGAATAATTGGAGTTTGAGTATGGCATGGCCTTGGCAAGAGAGGACTCTGCACCTGAGAGTCAGTGTAAATCATTATTGAGGGGGGCACTAGGAAGGAGAGGAGGAGAGCTATTAGGCTAATCCTTAGGGGCAACCGCATAGAGTCTGATCACAAATAGTAAAGCTAGGAGTGATAGTCCTGTTAATACCAGGATGTAAGTTAGACTCATGAGTACTTTCTTTCCTGAGGATCTCTTCAGAAGAGCCAACATAGATCCTCTAACGGCTCACAGGTGTGTGAAGGGCTGTCTCCTGGAACTTCAGACTGTGGAGTAGAGGGCCTATGATTTTCTTCAGGAGGCGTCCAAGGCTTCAGCTAAGTGTGATGAACCCACGAGTCAGTTCCTACCACCTTAACTGCCATTGGGGTAGACAGAATAACCAAAAATGGTCCTTCCCAAGATGGGCCTAAAGAGGGAGAGTCTGAGGGGAGAGACTTAACAAGCACCAAACTTTCCCTTTTTCCATAGGTTGTCCTTCAGGTAAGGTCCTAAGAGCCTGTTGGTACTTAGCCAAGGAGGATTAATCTTTTATTAGATCTGCTGTTTACTTATCTAATACAAGATCATTAGTAAGAAAGGGCCGTCCATAAACCATCTCATAGGAGCTGAGTCCTATTTTCTGAGGAGAGTTTTGAGCCCTTAAGAGTGCTATTGGTAGTAGAGAAGGCCACAGGAGGTGGATTTCCTGTGCCAGTTTTTTTATGTGTCTCTTAAGAATTTCATTCTTTTCCGCTTTCCGTGAGGACTGAGGCCTCCAAGCACAGTGGAGATGATACAGTATTCCTAACACTTTGGAAATTCCTTGGGTCACTGCAGCTTTGAAGACAGTGCTGTTATCGCTTTGAAGATAGCGAGGGAGTCCAAATCTAGGGGTTATTTCATTAATTAGGACTTTCATTACTTCTTGGGCTTTTTCTCTTCTACAGGGGGAAGTCTCAACCCACTTTGTGTAGGTATCTACACATGCTAACAGATGTTGATATCCCTGAGACTTAGGCATATGGGTAAAGTTTGGTTAGGCATATGACTGGTTTGCTGTTCCCCAGGAGGAGCTTTGCAATATGCCAAAGGATTATTTTTTAGGCATATTTCACATCCTTTGACTATTTGTTGGACAGCCTTGAAGAGACCTTTTTCTGTAAATATAGATTTGGCCATTTGATATGTATTCTCTATACCCATATGGCAGGTCTGATATAAGTTTTAAGTACTTTCCACCGGCTGGCAGCAGGTAGGAGTCCTCTTCCCTTCTCAATACCTAGCCATCCTGAAGGAAGATTATGTCCCTGGGAGATTGCCCACTCTACCTCCTCTGATGAGTGTTGAGGTCTAGTTCCCTGGAGAGGGTTTTCTCATACTAAAGTTCCTTCTATAAATTCTTGTCTAGCTGCCCGTTTTGCCTCTAGGTCAGCTCGGTGATTGCCCTCCGCTTCCTTCTCATCTCCTTTCTGGTGACCTCGGCAGTGTAAGACTCCTACCTCTTTGGGTTTTCGGACAGGTTGTAATAAGTCTAAAATTTCCTTATGATGTTTAATGGGAGTTCCTGCCGAGGTTAGGAATTCTCTTTCCTTCCATATGGCAGCATGGGCATGCAGAGCCAGGTAAGCATATTTGGACTCTGTGTATATGTTTATTCTCTTCCCTTTTCCTAATTTTAGAGCTCGAGTGAGGGGTATTAGTTCTGCCAGCTGGGCACTAGTTCCAGGAGGAAGGAAATTACTTTCAAGCACTGTTTGATCACTGACTACTGCATATCCTGCCTTTCAAACTCCATTTTCTATGAATGAACTTCCATCAGTGTATAGGTTGAGGTCAGAATTGGCTAGAGGAGTTTCTAAGAGATCCTCTCGAGCTGCATAGTTCTGGGCTATAACCTGCTGACAGTCATGTTCTTTGTTTTCCCCTTCCTCAGGAAGAAAAGTAGCTGGATTGAGGGCTGCACGTGTGCACAGCTGAAGTACAGGCCCTTCAAGCATTAAGGCCTGATGTTTGAGTAAGCGGTAGCCTGAGATCTTGCACTAGCCTCCATTGTCCATTAGGTTTTTGTACTCCTAAAATTGGAGCATTACAAGCGCTGTTATAGAACTTTACTAAATCCTGAGCTTTTAAGTTCCTTACAGTATCCTGTAGCCCCTTTTTGACTTCTGGTCTTAAGGGGTACTGTCTTTGGTAAGGAAAAGAGGTGGGATCCTTTAGCCTTATTTGAATTGGGCAGGCATTCTCTGCTTACCCAAATTGTTCCTCCATTGCCCAAACCTCGGGATTAATTCCTTCTTTAAATAATGGGCAGCAGAGAGGGATTTCCTCCCTGACAATGTTCATATAGCTAATGGTTCCTGCTCTGGCTAACAGGTCCCATCCCTAGTAAGGGAGTGGGACTTTCTGGCATGATGGGGAAGGTATGGGAAAAGAGTGTATCTCCCAAGTTACAGCTTAGGGGCTGGGAGAAATATCAGGAGACTGCTTGTCCTAGGACTCCTTGGACAGTTACAGACTTGGAGGACAACCATCCAAGACAGGAAAGCAAAACTGAGAAGGCTGTGCCAATGTCCAGGAGGAGATGGACCTCCTGGCCCTCTATGGTTAGCTTTACCTGGGGCTTGGTGAGGGTGATGCCTTGTGCTGGCGCTTGCTCTGGGCACCCTCAGTCTTGCTGTTGGGTCATCTGGTTAGCTACCTCTGGCCCTGGGAACCCTCTTCCCCTGGTGTGCCTTGCAGTGATCCCCTTTGCACAGTGGGCAAGGACGAGGAGGTGGTCCGTTCCTCTGAGGACAATTTCTCTTAAAGTGTCCTGGTAGGCCACAGTGGTAGCAAGCTCTGCCAGACTGGTGGCTAACCCAAGTCTTTCTCTCTTCTGAGTCCTTGGGGTCTGCTTGCCTGAAGGCCATGACTAGGGCTGCGGCTTTTCTCTGGTCCCTCCTGTTCCTTTTAGCCTGTTCTTCCTGGTCTCTATTATAGAACAGCAATGTTGCTAGATTTAGTAATGATTCTAGATTCTGTCTGGCCTTAGGGCCAGCTTCTTCTTTAAACTGGGTTAAATTGGTCCCAGTTTCCATGATACACTTTAAGGGTGATTTTACCTTGGGAAGGGTAGCACCCATCTGAAATCAAACACAGGGATGCCTGCATCCCTGGTTATTCCTTGCAACGGCTAGCCCTGGGGAATCCCCCAGTTATAGCACCTTGTAGTTTCCTTGTGCCCTAGATGCGTGATTATCTTCTGGGCCCCCCATGTGCTGGGTTTAATCATGCTCACTGATGTTGTGGGCATACCCTCACTGTCTAAATGTCCTTATTGGCCACCATAAGGACATGGGGACTGCCAGGATTAGTGGCCCTGTACCGGAGCATCCTTGAAGAACTAGGCCAGTGAGGCTTGGACAATGGGTGCCAGTATTCCCTAGCAAGAGTTCAATTAACATAGGCCTGACTATAAGCTGTCCTAGGAGGATAAACTTTTTGATAGGGGCCTCTAAGCACAACAGTCTTGAAGGTAATGGATGACTGCATGGCCAAGGCCAGACCAATGCCCTTGGGACCTGGGCCTCCTCCCTCACCCTACCTTCCATCATAGGAATATGCCCTAGGGTTGTGGGGCCTATAATTAACTATTTGAGCCTTGGACCAGGTCTGACTATGGTATTCTAGATGGAGAAGTTCTGCTGTACAGAGAGCCAATCCTAGGCAAGGCAAAATGTACATTATTAGATTCTGGCACCACTTAATTGGATTGGGAAATTGCAGGTGACAAAAAACAAAAACGTCTCATAGCCTCACATACCCACTGATAGACTCTGGCTCTGTTAGGACATAACCTAGCACTGCAGACTAAGGGAACTGGAGCAGGAGGACCTCATAGGCATAAGCCCAAGGGCACTGAACTGCCACCCCAAGAGCATCACGTGTAGGAAATATCTTAGAGGAAAGAGCCAGGAAGAAGTTTGCCTTACGGAAATCTGGCCCCAGGAGGTTGGGGTCTGAGGGGCTGGGTGTGGCTTGCACAGGCAGCAGCCATTCCCACTGCCTGGGCCAGCTGTTCTAGTGGTCCCGGCGCAGCTGCTCCTGCCACCTAGCCCAGCCACTGCTGCACCTCCCGCTTTCTGCAGGCAACATCTGCCCAACCTTGCCTCTGCCACTGCGGCAGGTCTTTACCTCCTTAACAAATTTAAAAGAAGCAAATAGGACAGATTAGCAAGCAAAAGGGGTCCAATGACACCACTTTGAAGTCCGAAGGACCTGCTGGCTGGCTCACCAAAGATGTAACCGGGGTAGGGCTATGTACTCAGCCCTCTCCCCGTTCCTATTCCGAGGTCCTTGGCATCTCTTACTCCAAGAATGGAGAAAAGGGCCCTGGAGGTGCGGTGAGCTTACCATTCGAATAAATACCATGGACCCAAAGAGTTTAGCAGAGAGCAATTTATTAGAGAGACAGAAAGAGAGCGAGCAAGAGCTCCCATGCTGCCCTGGGAGGGGACCCAAGGAAGGAATCCATGGGAGCAGCAGGATTTTAACATTGGAGTTATTCCTGCCCCATTCATGTCCTTGTCCAATGAGAGGAGTTATTTCAAGCTTCCACTGGAGTGATTGATCTTTGACTTCTGTACCAGATTGGCTACTTGGTCCCCAACAGAGCCCCCTCCTCCCAGAGCTTTCAGCTGGTATTTTGAACAAAGAAACCCACTTGGATTTCTCTACTTAGCCCGTGCATGGGAAAGTCAGACAAAGAATTTGACGTTTGAAACCCCTCTGATTCCCAGATGGAGGCAAAACCACACCCCTTGTGGACCCAGGAAGATAAATTTTTTTCCTTAACACAGTCCCTCAGTAGGTGCATCCCTTTCTGTTGAAGTCATCTTGGTATTTGACTCTAAAAATAGGACTACATGTGGTAAAAATGTAACCCATATTTTTGTCCAAATCATGTGAAAAAAATCAGTTTTGACATGGCTTTTAAGTATGGGCAAGAATATCCTGTATGTGTACAAAAGGATTCAGAGTTTCATTAAAGCTTTTTTGTGATAATTTTGAGATTTTGAAGTCAAAAGAAAACTTTGGAAGAACTGAAGATGCAGTTCTAACATAAAATAATTTAAGATGCTTAGACTACAAGGGGAGGGTTGACGGTGGGGGAGTAAAGGTTGGTGTGGAATGGAGATGCTACAGATGTAGCATGTAATGCTGTGCACAGTGCGGAGGAGATAGAAACAGAAAATAAAGGGAGAAAAGACAAAACAGTGAACTTGTAAGAATTAATAACATGTCTAACCGAGCCCTAATACCACTGTTGGTTCTTGAACCTTGAATTATTTTTGGGAAGAGTTGATAAACTCCCCAACATGTAGAGCAGTTAGTTTCGATAGCCTCAGATAGGACAGGAAGTTAAGCCAGAAGAAACAATGAAGATAATATTGAATACATGAAGGGATGTGAGAGAGACACATACAGCAACAGATTTGTTGTTAACTTACTTTCTTTTTTTTTTGAGTCTCACTGAGCTGCTGAGGCTGAAGTGCAGTGATGTGATCTCAGCTCACTGCAACCACCATCTCTCGGGTTCAGGCGATTCTCCCATCTCAGCCTCTCGAGTAGCTGGGATTACAGACAGCCGCTATCATGCCTGGCTAAGTTTTGTATTTTAATAGAGACGGGGTTTCACCATGTTGGCCAGGCTGGTCTTGAACTCCTGACCTCAAGTGATCCACCTGTCTTGGCCTCCCAGAGTACTAGGACTGCAGGCATGAGCCACCACACCCAACCTGTTGCTAACTTTCAACAGACTCCAGCTATAATTATGCATATTTGGTTATTTATAGTATAAGACACCTAGGAAATGATTTGGCTTTCCTTGAAGTCAAGCCAATGTCGGTAATATATCTATCATCCTGTGACAAAAGACAAAAATTTTGCAGAAAACAATGATAATGAAAAATACTCATATAAGAGATATAATGTGCTTTTTTATGATTTACAGCTCCCCTGCCCTCATGGATGTTGAATTTCTAATCTTTCCAATTTGAGATTTTCCTCTAGCATAATAAGTAGTAATAATGCATTTTAAGTAGTCTCTATAATATATTCCCAAGAAGAATTAGTTCTTCATGCCTGAAGAACTTTTAATATATCGAACTGTCATAAAAGCCTTATTTAATGGATCTAATGTGTACTTACACATTAAAATATGCACCCAGTTCCAACAGCCGAAATGAGTAAACATTTTATATTAAAAAAAAATTTTAAATGACAAAGATGTTAGTATCCACTTGGTATTTTATAAGGAAATGAGACAGTTGGGAATTGCTGAGACATTTTGCTTTAATATTGGGTACCTCCACCTTTAATTAGCATCATGATAATATATTTAGATCTTTCCTTAAGAAAATCGTTTTCTATGTTTTTAAGATCTTGCTGGCCTCTAGTGGTAATGTGCTGTTGTTTAAACATTTTCAATTCTTATGAGTGTAAAGCCATTTGGAAGGCCTAGTCTGTCAAAAACTTTACTCTCAGTGTTCTGGGTTAACAGTGTTCTCAAAGTGTACATGTAACATCACCTTTCTCCTAAAGACTAGGGAAGCTGTCTGAGTCACTCCGACTCTGTATTTTGAATGATACTAGTTAAGCTCTGAAGCAACCTCCCCTTATTATAGTGTATGTACAGTGGTAATTACTGTGCAAACTTTGCACTAACAATTCTTCCCAGAATGTTTCAGCCCTCTTCTCTGAAGATTCTAGGACTATTTTTTCCTTATTCTGTTTATAACAGTTTTTATTTTCTTAAGAGGAAGTTTTAAATTTACCACTGAGATTCATGTTTAGGCTCACCTC